CACAGCCGTCTGCTTGGGTGGCTCCAGGGGGGCCTGAAGATGATCACAGGGCCCCCCGCTCCTGCCCTCCCCTCCCTCAAGGCCACGACTGTACCGGGGGGGCTGTAGCAGCTCTCAGACCACCTGGTGCCCAGGATGGCCTGGCACCCAGGGCCTCACTGAACCATGTCCGCTGCTCCCTACGCTGGGGCGCTCCACCTGCAGTCTGGCTGGGACACCCTGCACCCATCCTGCGCTTCTCTGAGTCTCCTCAGCTTGTTAGAACTCTGCTTTGATTTGCAAACTGTGAAGTCCTGGGCAATGTGAACGGGGACTGATGCCAAAATCTTGGTTCCCTGTTCATCAGCGCTGAGAAGACATAAGGAGACAGATTGGGGGGAAAGTAAAAAAGGAAGCATAGCTTTATTCTTTACCAGGCAAAGGGGACACCAGCTTGCTAGTGCCTCAAGAAATGTGCCCTCTGCCCTGGGGAACAGGGGAGACTTCATATCCTCGGGAAGGTCTTGCTTTTTTTTTTTCCTTTTGCAGAACTTCAAACCAGCCACAGCTGACATCAGGTAACTCGATTAACTGGGGTTAGTCTTTTCTGAAGTTATCAGCCCATGACCTTCTTTCTGCAGTGAAGAGTGCTAGGAGGGACTGTCGGGGGTGAAGAATGCAGGCGCAGAGAGTAACTCAGTGGAGTCGGAGGTGACCGGCTTTGTGAAGGGCACGTCCAGCTACAAGTGTTCGTTAGTTGCTGTTGTTGTTTACTCATTAGGTCGTGTCCAGCTCTCTGCGACCCCGTGGGCTCTAACCTGCGAGGCTTCTCTGTTCACGAGATTCCCCAGGCAAAAATATTGGGGTGAGTTGCCAGTTCCTTCAGGGGATCTTCCCAACCAGGCATCGAACCCGTGCCTCCTGCATCGGCAGGCGGGTCTTTACTGCTGAGCCACCAGACACACCCAAAGAATAACCAAGATTGCTCAGCTCTCTCAGGCCTGTCTGTGTTGTTTGCCTGGCCTGTTCATTATTTCCTTGTTTATCAGAAAAGAAGGGCTTCCCAGGGGCCTCAGTGGCAAAGAATCTGCCTGCCATGGCTCAGCGGTAAGAAATCTGCCTGCAAGGCAGGACATGCGGGCTTGATGCAATGCATTAGATCCCTGGGTCTGGAAAATTCTGTGATGAAGGAAATGGCAACCCACTCCAATATTCTTGCCTGGGAAATCCCACCGACTGAGGGAGCTGGGCAGACTACAGTCCATGGAGTTGAAAAAGAGTCAGACAACTTAACGATTAAACAACAATCAGAAAAGTCTCATTTTTATTTAAGAAAAGTCTCACGTCTTTTTTTGCTGCAACAGAATGAATGTGACACACTGCAGAGGTTTTTAAAGTGTGTTGTTAAATAACACGTACAGTTTGAAGGCTGTTTTTATAAAACTTAACTATATACAGGCGTAGAAAATAATTGCCGTCTACTAGAACTTGAGTCTGTGGTCCTGATGCGCTAAGCATTTTGCTCAGTATCAGCTGGTTATTCCTTACAACCCTGTGGGCTGGGTACTGCTAGGATCTCCTGTACAGAAGAAGAAAGCGAGGCCCAGAGACGTCCCCTGCTTCTGAGGAGCTGAACTGGACTTGACCCCAGGTTTGCCAAGTCCAAAAGCCACGCATGCTTTCACCTCCAGGCTGATCGGTGCCTCTGTGCAAATTAGGGATATTATTAGCTCCCAGCTCATAGGGCTGTTAGGAGGATTAAATGAGCTAAGAGGTGTCAAGCCCTTAGAGAAGTTTCTGGCACGGCCCGAGGGCTCAGTAAGCACAGTCGCCTACAGCAGCATCTCATTGCCTCTGCGTGGGCCCTGTGAGATCACCCACCAAAACGTTCACAGTGGCCATCCCTGTCCTGGGGTCACGGGAGACCTTTTTTAAAACTTCTTCCAAAATGATCAGGTAGGGGAAGTCTCTGGCAGTCCAGCGGTTAGGACTGCGAGCTTCCAGTGAAGGGGGGCACAAGTTCGATCCCTGATTCGGAAACTAAGATCCTCGAAGTGGCAGGGCACAGTCAGAAGAATGTTTGACTGTAGTGTGTAATAAGAAATACAGACTTTATACTACTTATGTATTTCTTTTTAAATTCTTGCCTGTGTGATGCCCTAAGTGAACCTGAGGACAAGGCAGGCCTGTGAGATATCTGGGTCATCTCCCAGCTCCCCTCAAGGCCTGGCACAGATTGCCCCCCAATATAGGGTCCCAGTAGGGAGCAGCTCAGATGGGCTTCTCCCAGCCCAGCCTCTCCGGCCACTTGCTTGGCAGGAGCCAGAGTGAGTTGGGGGTGTGGGGTGCAGGTCGGAGCCAAAACTGGCCCCAGCTAAGCCTGCCCTTTGCTGGCCTTCCCCAAAAGGCTCTTCCTGGCCCCAGGGGAGCAGCCGTGATGGGTGAGACCTCCGGCCCTGAATCCACCAACAGCTGTGACCACTTCAGCTATTTTAAACCCTTGGGCACCCGGAGGCTCCTGTCCCACCAACCACGCGCTCTGACCCAGCATCACAGGCCCCAAGCCAGGGATGGGAGCCCTGAGCGTGGGTCAACCAGGCCTGGGTGGGATTTTTTTTTTAAGAAGAGGGAATTTGGTTTCTTGAGCACTCGCCTTGTGCCAGAGACTGTGCTAGTATGTTCCATACCTTGTCTCATATCAAATCATCCTGATATCTAGGCTGAGAGGTCAGCTTGTTCACTGATCAGGAAGATGAGGGAAATGAGGTCCCAGGTCCCACAGAGGCATGACTGCGATTAGAACTTGGGCCTCCTCGCCCGCCAAGCAGGGGACAGCATTCCTTCCTGCTCCTACCTGCTTTGCCCCTACCCCCACCTGGCCCCCACACCCCACACACACCCGTGCAAGTTCCTTTCCTGGCTCCGTGCTCATAGGCGCTATGAGACCAACTAAGGGCACATTCTTGAATGTTTCTGTGGCTCAATTTCTTCATCTGTAAAGTGGCGGGGTGCTTGGGAGCGTATAATGATCTGATTCTAATACATGAAAAGTGCCGCTGGAGCAGCGCCCAGCACACAGGAATGTGTTCAGGGCCTGCTGTCCCTCCTTGTCTCCTGGCAGTCACCACCTTTGCCTGTTTCTCTCTCCCCTGCACCTGTGATGACCCACCCAGACCTCGGTGGGGGTGCAGTACTTCCCCCCATTCTGGGCCCCAGCAGGTGACGTGAGGGTGCTGGATTTTATGATCCCCAGGAAGGTGGGTGCCCTGGCATATGTCCCGTATCTGCCACATAGTAGGGGCTCAAAACTAATTTTGGTAAAGGGATGCCCAGACAACAGTCCACCCTGGGGGCCTCAGGGTTAGTTCTGAGCTGCACAAACACTTTGCCATTTTGGCAGGTGGCCCCTCTCCTTTCTGACTGGATGGTGCACCCAGTGGCTGCAGGAACCTATCAAAAGTCACCAGGTCTTCCTAGGTCTGAGCACCTTGGGGGCAGATGCACCGCCCCCCCAGCCTGACTCAGGTCTTCCCCCCAGATGCACCGCCCCCCCCAGCCTGACTCAGGCCTTCCCCCTTCCCCAACTGTGTGCCTCCTAGATCTCGGCTGCCCCGGAGCAGCTGGGCTCTTAACCATCTCCTAATGTGGGCCCCCTCAAGGAGGTCGCTGGGGTCAGGCGCCTGGGTGTGTCTCCACTCTGAGCAATTGTGAGCCTGAAGCCTCTTACTCAGATGCACTCCCATCCCCCAGCAGACCTGCCCCCTCCCCTCCAGCCTGCACGTCCTTCTTACAACCTCTGCCCTCTCAGAAACACCTCACTTCCGGCCCCTTCTACCAAGGGCCACTCGGTCCTTTGTGAATTATCTGGCTTGGCTTCAGAGCTGGAAGGGTCTGGGATGGGGATCCCGCCCAATGCCATTCTGCACCTCCAGCGGGCCCACAAGTCACAGGCTGACCTCTGCAGGGACACCCTCTTTTGCCCAGGGCCCCAGTGATCCTTCACTGTCCCTGCACGGGAACATCAATATTTCAGTCCACAAACACTGGTCAGATAATCCCTTTCTCCCTAGAGCTCTCAGCAGCCCAGCAGGGGTCTTCATAGACCCTGCCCAGAACACCTCCTGGCACTCCGTCCAGGACAGCCAGAAGGGCCTCCTTCAATTCCGCCCCCACCACTCCTCACTGAGGACCCCGCGCCAGGGCTGTCATTGCCCACCCATCAGTCAGCGCCTTGGCTTGACACTCTGGCCCCACTGCCACCCCCCTCCCCACTTCCCCTCTGTAACATGGGCCTGATTGTTGCGGGGCTGGGGGGCAGTCAGGCTGTATCTGGCTTCCCCATTTGGTCAGGAAGCTCCCTCTCTGACCTTCCCCTCAGTCTGAAAACCCCTCTTTTTTAAAAAAGTTATTTATTGTAATTGGAGGATAATTACTTTAAATACTGTGATGGTTTTTGCCACACATAAGCATGAATCGGCCATAGGTGCACACGTGTCCCCTCCACCCTGAACGCCCCTCCCGCGTCCCTCCCCACCCTGTTCCTCCAGGTCGTCACGCAGCACTGTTCCGTACAGCAAACTTGCCCTGGTTTGGGCAGAAGACCTAAACAGTTGTTTCTCCAAAGAAGACACACAGATGGCTAAGAAACACAAAGATGCTCAACATCATTCGTTCTAGAAATGCAAACTCCTCCTTTAAGAAGGCTCACTCCCCAGCCCTGACTAGGTCAGCGCATCCAGTCGCTCTGTCCCGGCCCCTTATGGCGTTTGCATCATCTGCCCGCGGGGCTGGGGGCGCCCAGAGGGGCGGCTGGCCCTGCGTCCTGGCGCCGGGCAGCTGGGGGCCAGCGGAAAGTGTTGAATGAAAGGAGCAACTCAACAGCTGACGTCACCCAGACCAAGCGGGGGGGCGTGGCCACGCTTGACGGACTGGCCCGCGGCCCACTGAGCGAGGAGGCCGCGGGCTGCCCCGCCCACCGGCGTCCGATAAAGGCTGGGCGCGGACGGCCTGCGGGCGGCTGCGAGGGGCTCACCTGCGGCAGGTGCTACGGAGCGGCCGGGCGCTGCGCGAGGATGCTGCGCGAGCGGACGGTGCGGCTGCACTACGGCAGCCGCGTCGAGGCGGTGTATGTGCTGGGCACGCACCTCTGGACCGACGTCTACAGGTGAGCCGGGCCGCCGCGCCCCTCCGCCTGCGGGCTGGGCCCGAAATTGGGGCCCAGAAAACCCGAGACCCTCGCCGGACTCGGGGACACGGACAGGCTGCCTCCAGCCCGAGTCACCCCTCGTCCGAGGCCCCCGCGCGCAGAAATCCTGAGAACCATCCACCAAACCTTGTGTCAGACTCCCCCACATCCAGAGACCCCCCCCAGATACTCAGACCCAGCAAGGGCACCCTCACTACCCCGTTCCCAGAACCCCCGCCGCTTCTCCCCAGCCTTCCCGCCCCCGACCCTCTCCAGCCCCTCCCCCAGGACGACCTGGGCACCCCTTGGCTTCCCCAGCCTCTTCTCTTTCCCCTCCTCGCTCTGCCCTTAGCAGCTCCCTGAAGCCCCCAGACCCTCTGGCTCACCTCCCAGCTCAGCTCAGACCCTCCCCTGACTCCCAGACCGGCTGAACTTCCTCCTGGATCGGCCTGGGGCATGCCAGCAGGAATCTGGCCAAGGGGTAGCCTAGGCTCCAATTTCGCCCTGTGGGGGCTCCGGGTGATTGTCTGTCCCCAAGCACTGGCCAGGAGCGCCCTGTCCCCAAACGCCTTCCCCTGACTTCACCCTGGGGTCAAGGAGGGGCCTTGTTCCACCAGACAGACAGTGCGGATGTAGGGGTCTTTGTCAGAAGAGCTCTGCTGATTCAGGACCCTGTTCTCACTGGCCCTGTCTTCCCATCCTCAAACTCTGGTGGGGTGCAGGATTTCTGAGACCGCAGGCCGTGGTATGGGGTAATGGAAGTAAGCACCCCACCATTCCCGCCCCTGCCCAGGAAGCAGCCAAGTCCCAGACTGGTGCGAAGGAAGCGGCGGAGAGTCCCTGGCGGGGCCCTGCAGCCCTCTGCTCCAGGCCCTCGAAGTCTTCCCCATTGCTGGCACGGGAGGGGTCAGTGCTGAGGGGAGGGAGCACGGAGGACTCGGGTGGGGACCCCATGCTGATGCCTGTGGGCAAGTCCCCCTAACCGCTCTGTGCCTTGAGTGGCTTACTGCTCCCAAATCCTTCTGTCATCGGGCGCCCTGCCTCTCCCAGCCCCTCCGACACCCCGTCCCTGTGTCTTCCCCTACACCTTCCCCAGCCCATTCCCTCTGTCACCTCCAGTGGCCCTGCCAGCCCTGCCAGGCCAGTCCCCTGCCCACTTCCTCCTGAGCAGGCACTGGCCTACCCTGAGGGCAAAGAGCCGGTCACCGTGCAGACCAGGGGCCCTGTCCACCCGCCGGCCCCTGCCTTCAGTTGTCTGTGTGTAAACCTCAGGGTCACAACTCAGAAGTGCGGTGTGGTCCAGGCCTCAGTGGCCCTGGGGGCGCTCCCCTCCCTTCCCCACCCCCCTGTCCTAACTGGGCACTGCCAGCGAGTGGGCCGGGAGCCAGGACACTCGGGCCTCTAAGCCTCAGCTGTCACCATACCCGCCTGTTTGTCCACTGGGGCACTTTCAGTGCAGCCTGAGAGGTTGGCATGATGCCTCCGTTGGGAGGTGGAGAGTCAAGAAGGCATCAGGCTCAGGCCCACCCTCTGTCCTGGCAGAGAATGGGGGAAGTGTGGGCTCATCCCCCCTCTAGCAGGGCACGGAGGTGCGACAGTCCCCTCTGTCCCTTCTCAAGAAGCCAGTCACAGCCCCTGCGACCCTCACCTGCCTCCTGCATTTGACCTGAGACCCTCTCACACCCCCGGCAGAGATGCAGTACACTCTAGACCCCTGCTGTCCAGTGGAAATAGAATGCAAGCCACAAAGAGAGCCGTGTGTGTAATCTTTAACATTCTAGTAACTGTATTTTTAAGGTTAAAATAAGCAGGTAAAATTAATTATAATAATACATGCGTACTTATTAAGTCGCTTCAATTGTGTCTGACCCCTTGCAACCTTATGACCTATAGCCTGCCAGGCTCCTTTGTCCATGGGATTCTCCAGGCAAGAACACTGGCATGGGTTGCCATGCCCTCCTCCAGGGGATCTTCCCGACCCAGGGATGAAACCCATGTGTCTTATGTCTCCTGCATTGGCAGGTGGGTTCTATACCGCTAGTGCCAGCTGGGAAGCCCATAATAATAATAATATACACTTTAACCTAATATATCCCAAATATTAGCATTTCAATATATAATCAATATAAAAATTGTTCATGACCTAGTTTGACGTTCTCTTTTTCATGCTAAGTGTTGGAAACTCAGTGTGTGTGTTGCATTGTTCAGCTCACCTCTGTGCGGGCTACCCACGCTTCAGGCACTGACAGCCACAGGTGGCCATGACCGCCGTGTGTCCTGCCCAGCACGGGTCTAGAGCGACACGTCTCAGCCTCGGCACCACCGTGTTTGGGCCAGGACGATTCACTGTCCCCGGGGTGTCCTGGGCACCGTACGATGTTTAGCAGCGTCCCTGGCCTCTCACCCCTAGATGCCAGTGCGTGCTTAGTCGCTCAGTCGCGTCCAACTCTCTGTGACCCCATGGACTGTAGCCTGCCAGGCTCCTCTGTCCATTGGATTCTCCAGGCAAGAGCACTGGAGTGGGTTGCCGTGCCTCCTCCAGGGGATCGTCCCGCCCCAGGGATCGAACTCACATCTCCTGTGTCTCCTACATTGGCAGGGGGTTCTTTACCACCAGTGCCGCCTGGAAGTCCATGGATGTCAGCAGGAACCCCCAACTGTGACACCTGGAAACATCTCCAGATAACCCAGCCGTCCCTGGTGGGCCAAGTCACCTCCAGCTAAGAACCATTGGTCTAGTGGAAGGAAGCCCCTCCCCATACTAGGGAGACTGAGCTGGTGTCACTTCTGATACTGTGATGATAAGAACAGCTGTCAGCATGGCAGAGGATAAGATAACATCACCAACCCAAGGGACATGAATGTGAGCAAACTGTGGGAGAGAGTGGAGGACAGAGCAGTCTGGCGAGCTGCAGTCCATGGGGTCGCAGAGAGTCGGACACGACTGAGCGACTGCACAGCTGCCCACAGACCTTGGAGGTTGTGCTTGGATCATCTCATTTTGTAGATGAGGAAAGTGAGGCTCAGAGAGGTGTAGCCATTTGCCTGATGTCACACAGGACTCAGGTCTAGTCCTGTCTGGCTGAGAACTCATGCTCTTAATCTCTCTAACCTCTGTGTCCTTAGCCACTTCAGTTGTGTCCGACTCTCTGTGACCCCATGGAATGTAGCCTGCTGGGCTCGTCTGTCCATGGAACTCTCCAGGCAAGGACACTGGAGTCCAGGGGATTTTCTCAACCCAGGGATCGAACTCGCGTCACTTGAGTCTCCTGCACTGCAGGCAGATTCTTTATCACTGCGCCACCGGGGAAGCGCCTCTAACCTCCAGTTCAGATTGAACTAGATGACCGTCTTAGCCTGTGTCCCTCCCACCCCCCACCAGGGCCATGAGACACTGCCCCCGAGACATCACCCACCCCCAACTGACCTTCCACTTCCCACTGAGCCCTTCCCCACCCAGATACAAGTTCTGACTCAAACCCCGTGTGATGTCCCCAGGGTCTCCAGTCTCCAAGGAGACCCTGGGGGACAAGGTGGTGGGCCTTAGGCCCTGTCAGTGAGGGAGTGGTGTCTTGACCCCTCAGTCCTGAATCACAAAGACGAGTGAACAGACCTCAACACCCACCCCCTTCCCCAAGGGCTCTGGGTCCCCTTTCCTGAAATGCACACAGACCTCCTTCACCTCCAGACACAAGGCAGGGGCTTCGCCTGCCCCTTCCTCGGCTGGCCCCAAGGGTCACCCACCCTCTCCTGGCAAAACCGGTCCTCTGGGGATGATGACCTGACCCAGAGACATTCTGAGGGCTGGCCTGCAACAAGCTAAAAACAGATGCGCAGAAAGAAGGAAGTAGGACATTTTTTTATAGAGATTTACTCCAGGATCCTTGTTAAAGATACTTGCCGTTTCCTCTCCCCTCCCCACCCCCCATGCAGCGCGCTTATCTGAGGTCTGGTGCGTGTCTGCACAGTCTCCCCCACAGTCACTTCAGCCCGCAGCTGCTGCTTCGGCGGGCTGGCCTGGGTCCACGTCTGGTTCTGACTCGTTGTTGGAGAGAAAGTGCTGAGTGAGCAGCACCCCCATGTCTATTTCATCCTCCCTGCTCACCTCTGCCAGATCCCCTGGGAGCCTGGAGAACGAGTAGCCTTGGAATAAATTGACAGGGTAGTTGCGCTCTGCCTGACTTGCCCTCTGACCCACAAGCCCTGTCCCACCCTGGGTTCATGCATACAGCGGGAGGGGGAGTTCTTGACTGGGTTGTGAGCTCTCTCTATACCCGTTTCCGAGATCTGCAGGAGCTTCAGGGCAGGAGTGATGTTATCAGCCGTCTCTTGCCTCTGTAGGGCTTTCTCCTGGTTGCATCTGACCTCATGATGTGCCCCTGAGGTCGGAAGGAGAAGCGGTCCTGTGCACCTCCTGAGATTCCCCAAGGCAGAGGCTGACCAGACATTTCTCCCAGCAGGGCCTGGCCCATCACTCTCAGGAAAGGGGGTACCGGGGAAGGAGTCCCCAGTAAAATACGGGGCAAACCGCACAGGGCAGTTACGTATCCTGCCTTGGGGGTGCCTGTGCGCTCAGTCGGGTCCAACTCTTTGTGACCCCACGGACTGTAGCCCGCCAGGCCCCTCTGTCCTTGGGATTCTCCAAGGAGGAATACTGGAGTGGGTTGCCATGCCCTCCTCCAGGGGATCTTCCCAGAGATAGAACCTGCGTCTCCTGCATTGGCAGGTGGATTCTTTACCGCCGAGCTACCTGGGAAGCCCCCAGCCTTGAAGGAGAGCCTGCCAAATCTAAATTCATCCCCACATCACTCCCTCAACTCAACTCAGATCGCGGTCTCTCTGACTCTGTTGGTGTGAGTGTTTTACAAAATACCATTAGGATCCAGATCAAAGCGCTAGGACCTGCGGTGTCTGAACGCCCCCCCACCGGGTGTCAGGCCCTGCCTCACTGGCTGATCCCGCCTCCGGCTGACCCGCCT